ACGATGTCAGATGTAAAGAAAGGCAAACCAAAAAAGAGACCATATAGAGATGAAAGCACACTGACAAATGACCAGAAAGCCATTTTGGAAGCTCTTAAGCAAACAGGAAACCCAGCACTTATAGAAAGCTTTTGGAAAGATAATGGTGAAAAGAAGTTTTATAAGAAGAGAAGCGGTCAGTTCTGGAAGTATCTTTGCACATTACCTATAAATCTTGAACGCTACCAAATCTTCAATGAACTGAACAAAAGAACTGCAACACTTATGACAGAAAGACAATTGTTTCGTTTATGCTTGCATTCAGGCTGGAGTAGATGGAGAGACTATTGACCACATGAGAAAGAAGTCATTCGTGTTAGAGACTTTCCTCAAAGTAAAGTACAGAGAAATTTCTGACGCAACAGGTATAGCATTTAATGTTACCATTGGTTATTTCAATGACTCAAGACATAATGAAATAAAGAGATACATACCAAAAGAATGTGAAACTGTTCGAACTATTGACTTACTTCTTGTTGAAGACCACTACATGCTAAAGCGAAAGATTACCAAATGACAAATATTTCTTCGCAACTATATAGAAATTCTCAAAGCTTGTGGTGGAATGAACATTGAGAAACAGATGAAAATATATACAAAGAGAGAGAACAAATAGTAGTTCGTTATGATTAGAACAACACCGCTATGGGATGTTATGAAAACATTGTGGGAGTGCAAATATTTCGAACCTATTTCTTATGGAGAACTTTTCACATATACGACTGACTTATATAAACAGAACCTTGCACCATTTAAAGATTTGACATATGCTCCAAAGTATTGTGTACAACTGAAGAAGAAAGCAGAGTCAAAAGAAGTAAATAAAAATAAGTGCAAGTTCATTCCTGAGCACGTTTTCTTTGCTGACTTTGAGTGTAGTACCGATGGCTTTCATAAAGCTTTTAACATATGTTACGACAATGAAGATGGTTCAGTGAGTGAAAGCATTTGGGGTCAGAACTGTGCAACAGAATTTTTGGAACGACTTCCTGACAAGAGTTTAATATATTTCCATAACCTCAGTTATGATATAAACTTCATCTTAAGACACATGACAGAAGTGAAAGGAACTCCCATCATTAAAGGTTCACGAACAATGCAAATAACTGGCTTATATAAAGGAAGGGCAATTATTATAAAAGACTCTTACAGTGTTATAAATAAGAAGCTTAAACTATTTCCTGCTATGTTTAACTTACAAACAGGACCGAAAGAAGTATTTCCATATAACTACTACAGCAGTGTTTTGTTAGCAAATGACAACAGAACTGGTGTCATTTCTGAAGCATGTAAGTTTGTCAAGGATGCAGATACGTTCATGAAGAACATAGATTCCATCAAAGGTTGCAGAATAGATGAGAACCACTTCGACTTAGAAAAGTATAGCACATTTTATTGCAAACAAGATGTAAGAATTTTAAGAGAAGGTTTTGTTAAGTTCCGCAATGACATATTGAAAGAATTTGATTTAAACGTTTATGACTACGTTAGTATTTGTTCTATTGCTAACAAATTGTTTGAGAACAGAGTGTACTTCCCGAATGGAAATTTATATGACCTCTCAAATAAACCAAGAGAATTTATTTCGAGATGCATTCAAGGTGGAAGATGTATGTTGTCAGATAACATTAAACAAAAGAGCGAAAAGAAACTCATTGCTGATTTCGACGCTGTTTCATTATATCCATCCGCTATAGCAAGACTTTATACTTTAGAAGGTATTCCAAAGGTTATGAAGAAAGAAATGTTAAGCACAGAGTATCTCATGAGACATTTATTCGATGACGACCAAAAGGAACCCATTGGTGAAAAGTTTATGTCTGGCTTCTTTGTTCTCATTAAGATAACAGAGATTGGAATACATAGACACTTTCCTTTAATAGTTTGTGACCCTGAACTAAATCCAGAACTTAATGTTCCCAGAAGTTCAAACACTTGCTGTTTAATGTATGTTGACCATATAACATTACAAGACCTCATAAAATATCAAGGTGTCAAATGTGAAGTGTTGCAAGGATACTATTACGATGGAAACAGAGATATTAGAATAAGAGATGAAGTAAAGAAGTTGTTTGAGTTAAGGTTAAAGTATAAGAAAGAAGGAAATCCTTTGCAAGAAAATATAAAGCTCATTCTGAACAGTATTTATGGCAAAACTATTCTATCTCCTATTGAGTCAAAAATAACCATAGTAAATGACAAAGATGCTATAAGATATGCCATCAGAAACTACAACCATATAGTGAAGTTCGAAGGTTTGGATGGTTCAGATAAAACTATTTTCAAGCTAACGAAAAGTATTTGCAGACACTTTAACTTCTGTCCACTTGGTGTTAACATTCTGTCTATGTCGAAGAGAATAATGTGTGAAGTATTCTGTACTGCTGAGGACTTAGGAATGGACATCTTTTATAGCGATACCGACAGTATGCATCTCTACAATGAAGATATCCCTCGTTTAGCTGAAGAGTTTGAGAAACGTTATGGAAGAGTTCTCATTGGTAAAAACCTTGGTCAATTTCATAGCGACTTTGCAGAAATAACACCTGGAAAACAAAGTTTAGCATACAAGTCAATATTTTGTGGAAAGAAGACTTACATAGACTTACTCACGAATGATTTAAATGAAGTTGCATTTCACTGCAGAATGAAAGGCGTGAAGCAAGATGTTATTGCTTTAACCGCTAATGAAATGTTTCCTGACTCTGTTCAGTGTTTCTATGATGAAGATAAAGGTTTAATGGTTCCGCAAGGAAAATTTGACAAAGACTCTGAGTTCAGTTTAATGAAATTAAAGCACTTTATGACGGTCAAGAGATTGGATTTGACTTATGTAAGTCTGCTACACCTGCATTTGACGAGAAGTTTAACTTCTCAATAACGACTAAAACAAGCTTTATTCGTAAGTTGAAGTTCTGAGGTCATTTATTTTTGTCAGCAATGAGGTCATTCGTGATAAAAATAAGCCGCTAGCGGCAAGGGCGAAGCCCATGAGGTCATTTACAATACTGCGATGGTAGAGTTTAAGAGTTGTGCTTCAATGTAGAGACAGTCCTTATGGTCTGGAGGTAGCAAAACAGGTGCTTTATGGTCATGAGTGGAGAACATGTCTATCCAAAACTCACGATTGAAGCCAGTAAGCTTGTAATACTTAGGATTTGGCAGTGGTGAAGTTCTTGTATGACCAATGAACTCATTTTCAACTCCCTTACTTAAGTTTGAATATAATATAGCTTGCTTTCTATCCCAAATGCCAGGTGTTACAATCTTTGAAAATTCATTTTTCCTCGGAAGCATTGCATAATAATTGAAAACATTTTGAAGTCATCATTTGGTTCAGAGATTTGAAATCTTATACGTAATGGATTTTCTTTCTCTTTAGCGACTTCATTGAATGGTGAGAATACAATGAATTGACAGTCATGAGTTCCATCTTCATTTTCATTAAATTCATAATGAAAGTCTATAAGTTGTGGCCGACTACCTTCTTCCTTCAGTTGTGCAAGAAACTCACGTAAAGGCTGTAAAGTTTGTACTTCAATGTTGAACTTTTTCTCGAACATCTCATTAAATGAAATCATACATTGCAACAATGTTGTATCGTCTTTAAAGTATTTGTATATGTGAATGTTTTGGGCGCTTAAAGACTGTTCGTCATTTTCTATCTCGACTTGAAGTATAAAGTCAACCTTTCTGAAAGCACGTGTTATATACATAGATGTTATGCCAATGTACTTCTCTTCATTTATGTTCACAATCCAGTCTGTTGGAAACTTAAACGTTACTCTGTTCCCCTTTATTTTGACGTCAGGGTTTTCACTACTGAACGCAACAGATAAAGGTATTTGTCTATACATTTAATTCGGATAAAAATAAACCATTTACTCTTTCTTTGCTTCAGCTTCTTTAGCTTTTGCTTCAGCTTCTTCTCTAGCTTTCTTCGCCAGCAAACGTGGGTTCTTTTGTCTTCCAGCAGCTAATGCAGCAAGTTGTTTTTCACTAAGTTTTCTCTTTGGTCTCTCTGGCTTTTGTTCTTGTTTTTGTTCCTTCAGTTCGGATAAAATTTGCTCACGAATTTCTTTCTTCAATGCTTCAACATCTATGACCCCTTGGGTCTTGTCCGTAGGGCTTGTCTGAGTCATTTGACTGCAGATAAAAAACAAAATTAAAACTTTAACCGATGTAAAATGAGCTTGTCAAAATCAGAGCGAGAGTCTATTATATTAAATGACGCCAGAGGAATACAACATCCTTTCTATTACGTAAGTCAGAGTAAAGATGGTAAAATATACGTAAGAAAAAGAAAGGTTCCATTAGCGAATGCAGAAAGCGACAACATTAAGGTGTATGGCAAGGGTGAAGTCCATGTTAAGCCTTCTATTCAAACTGAAAAGTCAATAGAACAAGAAGAAAAGAAGCCAGATGTACTTTCAATAACGAACCAAGAGCTTATTGCAAAGTTTTGTGAATTTCATTGAAAAACAAACCGAGTCAAAGAACCCTGACCCGCCAGTGAAAGAAGTTGAGACAAAAGAGAATGTACAGTTCATTGAAAATGTCAAGAAACAACTTCCACCACGAATGCCAAGAAGAAGAGTGAGAATAATGAAGTAAATATATATTTTTATCCGAAGTAAATACATGCAGAACGAACAGTTAAACGAATTTACTCCAGCAGAGCATATTCATCAGATTCGCTCATATTTCGATATCATAGACAATGCAGTTCAAATTGGTGACACTAATAGAAAATATTCTGACGCAAAGATTCCATCACAACCTGGAACTGCTAAAGATAACACATGGGTAACATTCAATCTCTCACCTCCTGGTGAAAATATGTTGGACCTTTACAATACATTCATTACGTATAAAATGGAAGGTCAATTTATTGTAGATAAAGAAATTGGTTCAGGTTCCAATAAAACAAACCCACCAGGATTTTGGATTGGTTTCGATGACGCTTTCTATGCAGTTGCTGGATATCAAATCCTTGCAAATGGTCGTATCGTATATTCTCAAGACAACGCAAGAGAAGAAGCATATATAACTTCAAACTCACAAACTACCGAACAAATAAAGAAAGTAGATGTTTTCTCAAAGACTCGACATGAAGATGTATGGAGTCATTCGGGAACATGCAGAACAGGACAAATTGTTAGTGGTCCAATTACAGCAGGAAAATCATTTGATTTTAAGCTTCGTTTAAGAATTCCTGTTAGAAGATTCCTTCCATTAGAAGCTATTCGATTTATTCCAGCTTTTGCAGGAAACATTCAGCTTAAAGTAAAGTTCAGTAGCGACGCCTTACAATGCACATCTATATCTGTAAATGATATCATTGCTTTCAATCCAACTCTTAAAGTTGCATTTGCTTCAGATTCAAATCCACCGACAAATAAATTTGTTCCATGGAATGAACCATTCACTATGATAACGAAGGCAGTAGAAGCTAGTGGAACAGTTACTATTACAACTGTAACCCAGCAACTATTTCGAACAAAGATGGATTTTAATGAATGTTTCATTCATCCAAAGTCATTCTCTTTAGACCCTAACATTTATACAGAACTTGTAGAACATTATACAAACGAGGCTTTATGTTTTCCTGTTAAAGTTATGGATTGGATTCCTATGGACGGTTCATTCTCAAAGAATACAGATAGTTCAAGTGCAACATTTACAGCAGCTTATACGCCTATTAATGTTAAAAGTATTTGGGCACTATTTAGAAAGAAAGACAACTATTATGTTAATTTTGAGAACCCTAAGTTTAAATATCTTCAGCTTTCCATGGGAGCTTATGGAAATATGCCTGCAGAACCTGAAAAATCATATGGACCTGTATTTTATGAAATGGTTGCGAACGCTTGCAATACAAACAATGATATGATAGGATTTAATGAAGATGTTATGAGGTCATTGGTGGATGATGGTAGTGTGGAACATAAATGGGATAGCTATGACAACACACATTTCTTATGTGGTTTTCCAACAGAAGTGGACTTTTGCTTCCAGCAAGGTCAAACATCTACTGCTCCAATAACATACAAATTGTCTGTTAAAGGACCTATTGAACTAGCAACTGAAAATGTACCAAAGCCACTTATTGGATTTATGAGGGATTGTTGCTTTGCCATTCAGGTGCGTGCTAATGGATCCCCATAATAAGATTAGATGACTATAACTTAGCTACGGACGACAGTGAGGAATAAAGGATGAACGTTTATTTTTAAAGCTTATAAATGAGTTCTTCATCAAGCTCTCGTGAACCTTCACCATCTATGAAACAAACTTTACCAAACGATTATGGAGCACCTATTGAATATTTCTTACGAGCTGCACAATGGCAAAGAGCAGTTTCACCAAGGTTAGGTGTTCCACCAGCTCCTGTCAAAAATAGCATTTGGTCAAGTCCTTATATAAGATATGGTCTCCCACTAGGTTTGCTAGCTACAGCAGGAGCAGTAATGATGTTGAAAAGAAATAAAGCAAATGTTGTAAATAATACTGAAGTAGCTGAAGTTAAACAAACTCCAACACCTTCACAAGCAAAACCTTCAATGACTCCTGAACCTATGGAAGTACAAACTCCTGTTCAAAAGTCAACTCCTAAACCGACTCCAACATTTAAACCAGAACCTACTCCTCAAATAAATCGTAAAACTCCTGCGTTTCCTTACTGAAAAAATAACGTTATTTTTATTTAATATTAAAATTTTTATTTGATTGAAATGACAAATAAAGTCACTGAAGCAATGAAACAAAAGTTTTTGGTAGAATACATTAAATCAGGAACTATTCCGGAAGGTTTTTACATTCATACTATGAAGGATGGTAGAGTTCAGTTTAGAAAGATAAAGCAACCATTAGATAAAGAAGGTATATTAAGGAAGATTAAACTTCATGAGGACAACATTGCTGAACTTAGGAAGAAGTTAGAAGAGTTGGAGAAAGGAAGAGAGTTATAAAGCAATGAATTCAACAGGGTGAAAAAACAGGTGAAAAAAGAGGTGAGATCTCACCGCTTCACCTAAATTTATTTTTGTGCTATGTTTTCATACGTGTGAGGGTGGTGATATCATTAATTTTTAAGTTTATTTTTTTTATTTTATTTTTTATTTTATTTGGATGTAAATGACGAAAACTATTGAGATAACAAACTACAACGGTCATGAGTTCAAGAATTTGTTCTTCGTTCCTCGTGAAAATACATTCTATCAGATACGAGGGAGAAAGGGTAAAGTTAGTTTGAGCGTTTATGAAGGAATGAAGAATGGAAAGTTTATACAAGCATACGATACAAACGGTAAACGTGTTTCATTAGCTTTGTCAAAACTTACTAACATTTATTTTGACAGTGACTTTGACTCTGACGATTGGAGCGACAGCAGCGATACTGAAGAATATGAACTATTGTGTGAAGCACAGCAATGGGAAGAGTTGCAATACTTTTGTAAGTGAGAACGTTTATTTTTTACAGTAGTGAAGTCATTTGTGAAAACGTTAGTGAGGTGAAGTGGTTGGTGGTTTTGTAAATATTTAAGGTTAAGTTAGTGTTGTCGTTTGTGTTGTAAAATATATGTTAACGGTTTTGTAAAGTGTCAAATTCACATATAACGGGTACGGTGGAACGCAGTGCCTCCGTACACATGATATGTATACTAACTAATGCAACTGCAATATTCACTAATGATTGCCTCGAGAATATGCATTCAGAATTTTCTTCGTTAAAACATCCAAACATTTATGAATCTATTAAGAAGATATCTCAAATCCAATTAGATAAATATAACGCCATCAAAAATAACCAGAAGATCGAGCGCCATATAAAAACCGTTATCACTGATAGCTACAAAAATTATATTCTTGACTGCTTTCAAAAAGAACTTGAGAAAACAATTTTTTCTATCAAACAATACAACGTAAGTGATCTTTCTTTGGCTCAGAACGAGATTTCTCCATATGGTTCCATAGAATCGAGTTCATTGTTCGAAAATATTCCAGTTCATGATGCAGATATACTCAAATCGATCGATCTAACAGATAAAGATACAATGATCACTAAGTTTTATTAATGAAAAAGAGAAAAAATTATGGCATTATTTAATGAAACATTAAATCATCCAGATTTTAATTCATCCACTCCAATTCAAAACTAATTTTGAGCAAGCCGACAATCAAGGTTCAGATGCTCCAATTCGCTCCGAAAATTCAAATATTGCAGACTCTACAGATTTAGAACCAGAAAATCAAAACCATCCTTCTACAAATCAAATGTCTAGTAATCTAGAACATAAGCTGGACCTTCTTGATCATATTGAAAAACATTATCGAAAATGCGCTCGTTATTGGGAATTCTTCCTACTACAAATGCTATTGTTGGGCCGTCAAACAAGTTTCAGTTAATAGCAAGCAAAATTCTGAAAAAATAAGAAAAAATCTTCCATAACAACAAAATCAAACAATAAAAACAAAATTCATCCGACATCCTCCTAAACGTAAAGCTCTATTTCGGAAAGGATTCTCAGCGATAATAACTTATATTTTCAAGTTCATCGAAAGAGATCGAAAAAGCAACGTTCCACATCTACAGAGAAAAGAATTGATATATGAAGTCTAATTCCTTTTATAACTACTATATTTTTATTCTTATGACTAAAAATAATATATTATTTAAGGGTGCACCTGTATGTACGTTTATTTGAGAGGAGGAGGATTACCCTCTCAATTTTGAGGGATTCGTTAGTTTATTTTCTCGATGAATATGCAATAAATTTGATTTTTACCTTATCAATATACTTCATATAATATACACATGTTCATGTAAAAACTTTTTTCCAAAATCCTCAGGAATTAAGGGATTTTTGAATTTTAAGAATTTTTTTCGAATTTTTTCGAAAAAAAAATATTTTCAGAACAGCCTTAACGGCTAAGATTTAGGAACAATGTTAAGTATCAAAAAAGAAAGGAGGTCTGATATAGACAACATATATCGTTGAAGGTTGAAAAAATCTCTAATATTTGAGCCCAAAATTTTCAAATTTTAATTTTTTTGAAAAAAGAGGCCACCCGTATGTACGTTTATTTGAGAGGAGGAGGATTATATTTTTGAAAGGGTGAAACATTATGAATATGTTAATTATATAATAATATGTATTATTATAAAAAGAAAAAATAAAGCACGTTAAAATTTTTTCTTTCTTGATTTTTTACAAAATCTACTTAGAATTATGCAAAATATTACTAAATAATTAATAAATTTTCAAGTTAAATTTTAATTTTGATAAATAATTTAAATTTCAAAATATCAAGTTCAGTTCGACTATGTATGTAGTAATTCTCTCAATAAAGTGCCAAAACCTAATTAAAATATATGAACATTTCAACATTTAATGTTTTTATTTAAAAATTTGATGGAATATGAGCTTCAAACAATTATTATGTAAATAAAAATAATTAAATATATGTATTTATTCGTATTACAACCGTAGTAAGTCGATTCTTCCTTTCTTCTACTGAGTTTTGAATTTGATTTCGAATTGTAAAGAGATTCAAAGGGAAAATACTAGCGGATAAAAACTCCATGAAAGGGTCATAATGGACTCAAGTTGTATTTTTTGAATATTTTTTTGCTTTTCGAGCCTAAATATGGTAGCCAAGATAATGCCTAAAAATAAGGTTCTAAATTCTGAAGTTTACATGATCCTCTCGTGTGCACCCTTAACAATTTTCATTTTTTTCTTTTAACAATTTCGTTTTATTTCCATTTATTGTTAAATGATTTTTAGCATACACCTTTCTTTGTTCATCTTCTAAATACAATTTATTTTTTCTTAGATATAATTCTATTCATTCAATTCGATCGTCATTTTTCAGTACATGATCGTAATTTTCAATTATTGATCGCGATTTTACTTCAGAATTTGTTCGCAATATTGCTTATCAAAATTATATCTCTATTCTCTCATTTCTGTTTAGTCAATATCATTACACTCCTATTGTCTAATAACATGCTATTAATTTTCTTAAAATTAAAAAAAATATCAACTTTTAAAAACAGAAACTTAACATCCTTAGGTCAATGGATTTTGATGTGAGATACATTTAATCTGTTTTTCTTTTTTTATTTTAAATAATTGAATATTTATAGTTGTTATGGGTCTTACATCATGTAAAACGAATTTTCTTAAAGTAAATTTACTTTTTCTTCAATCTTTCTTACATATTTATTAAAAAAAATTATCCAAAAAAAGATGTTTTAGAATGAAAAAAAAAATAGAAAAATCTTCATTTATAGTCTTTCTTGAATGTATACGTTTTGATTTTTTTCTTTTTTAAAAAATTCAATTTCTAGAAAAATCGAGAAAAAATCATTTTCTTCTATTTTTTAGGACGCCATACCCATTGAAATCTCCTCTCAGGACGCCATAAACTATTCAATTATGGTGTAAACTTCTCAAAAAATGAATAGTTTACATCAGGACGCCTTAGGACGCCAATCCTTTACGCGCCCTTAGATTTGTGTTGTATCTAATGAGCGAAAAGTCTTACGAACAGCAAATATCGATTATGTGTAAATTCACTAATGTATTTTTCTTATTTTTATGCCTATTATCGCAATCGTGGTTTTTCGACAATAGAATTTTTTGGAAACAAAAAGTGGCACTCTTCAGCTCTACATTAATGGCCGAGAGTTCAGAATACTATTCATACTCTTACTACTCATCCGATGACTACGATATACTCGGTAAAGAGGCCGAAGAGGAGGAAGAAGAGGAGGAAAGTCAAGATGAATATGAAGATTGGATTTCGCAGTTTTGTTCAGAAAAGAAGTTCAAAAACTGGTTTTGTCACGTTTCGGAAGCATATTTAGATGATCCTTTCAATCTTTTCGGACTTCAGAACTTATTTAAGCACTATCAGAAGGCATTAAACTGCCTTTTAGATGTCGAAGAGGAAGATATGGATGAAAAGTTATATTCAGATGTACAATTCACAGAAGAAATTCAAAACTTGTATTTACTCGTCCATCAAAGATACATTCAATCACCGGAAGGTCTTGCAGAAATGCTTGACAAATACAATAGAAAAGTATTCGGTACATGCCCACGTGTTGAATGCGAAAAGCAGGCCGTCATTCCATATGGAATGTCTACAAATTTGGGTGTCTCCGGTTGCCTCGCTTTCTGCCCAAGATGCCGCGATGTATACATCCCAAAGGCTTACGAAGTATCCAGAATTGATGGTGCTGCCTTTGGTCCTAATTTTGCGGCAATTTTATTATCAGATCCAAGCCTCAAATTAAAGATTCCAGCTGTTAAGAACCCACCACTTACAATATTCGGTTTCAGAGTTCTCGAGAGCAGAAGAAGACTCGATCGTACAAAAGATCCAAGCCATCTTCCAGAATTTTCGGATGCTTCTGAATACGAAGAGGAAGAAGATTATGCAGAAGAAGAAAATGCTCAAGAAGCTAAATAAGTCAAAAGCACTTCTTGATATATTTTATTTTTTATATCAATATGAATTATCTTGAATTACATTGTTATTAAACAAAACTTAATATATAAAATCTTACATAAAGCTTTTTGGTCAATACAATTTTAATTAATTTAATTTTTTATTCGAAGCAAAGACAAATATCTGAATATATTCAAAAGAAGGGAATATTTTGCTTAGTGTTTGAGAACTTGATACATAAGGAACCCAGTTCTGGCATTCTATTCTCTCGAAAAGTTCATTTTTGTCAAAAATGTTTTTCAGTTTTTTCGCACATACGTTTTCCAAAACTCGATATGGAATAATGGTTGATGCAGGATCTTCTGGTACACGTGGTTTCCTATATACGTGGAATGACATAGATTTGATCCCTGAAGTTTCACAATGTTTCGATGGAGAAAAACGTATGAAATATAAAGCAAAAATCAGACTCGCGAGCGCTGCTGAAGACCCCGAAGCTATACAGAATATCTTTAAACCAATGATTGATATGTTCATGAAAAAATTAACTCCAGAAATAGCCAAAGAAACGCCTATTTACGTTTACGCTACAGCAGGTATGCGATTACTATCTGTTGATAACCAAGAAAAGGTATTTTCGCAAGTTTATGATTATTTCAAGAAGAATTCATTATTTTTAGTCAAAAGAAACAATTTCCGTGTTATTTCTGGAGTTGAAGAAGGTGTTTATGGCTGGCTTTCTGTCAATAACCTCCTTGAAAATTTCAAATATCAAAAGCCATACGTAGGATCCATAGATCTAGGAGGTGCATCCTTCCAGATTGCATTACAAGTTAACGAAAGCGAGCAACTTGATGAATCTATTCTTGTTAAAGTTGGTCAACAACGAATTCGGATCTTTTCTCACTCATATCTCGGATATGGCGTAGATGTATCTTCAAAATCAATATCTAAAGCGATATCAGCTATCACTGATTCGAATACAATTAACAATCCTTGTTTTCCAAGAAATTATACAACTATAATTAAAGGAAAAGAAGATATTACCGTACATGGAACAGGTGATTTCGACAAATGCGCTCGACTTACGAAGAAAATACTCATTGATGGCCCACATTTCGAGACCGTAAACATTCCAGGAATTTCTGGCCAGAGTAAATTCGTCGGTATGGCAAATTTGTACTTTGTTAACAATTTCTTTGGTCTTCCTGAGTCAAGTTCAATGGAAGAACTCAAGAAAGCTGGAACTTCTTTTTGTTCCAAACAATGGTCGAAGATTGAAGAAGAGTTGAAGGGCAAAGAATCATTGGAATATGCTCCAACATACTGCTATTGTGCAGCTTATCAGTACACTTTGCTTCAAAAGGGATTTAATTTCAAAGATGGAAACAATGAAATCAGGAAATTAGATGACATCAATGGAGTGGACTTGTCATGGGCTATAGGAGCTATGTTGGCACATGTTTCTGATATAGACATCGTAGCTAAGACAGTAGTTCCAATGAAATTGGTAATTTCTGTTAATATCGCAGTATTCTGTGTATTGGCATTGATCTATATTGTGATTTCGATGTGTTACAAATCAAATCCATATACAACAATGCCTCCTGTCGAAGAATTGCCACCAATAGAAGAAAATGAAGTTTAAATATTTTATCTTTGATTTTTTGTGCTGCAAATAAATAGAATTTTTTAAAATATACGTTTTCGATTTCAATTATTCACATCTCAATGGATGCATCGTGGAGTGGGGGACAAACTCGCCCATTGTCACTTTTTCATTAACCTTAAACTTGTAATTTTCTAGGGCTGTACAAGATTTAAAAAAACATTGCCGGGTTACCGTAGAGGCCTAAAAAAATCGCGCCTCGGCGGCAAGCCGCCTCGGCATTAAGAATGCGCATCTAAATTTTTATATGTCCTTCTTTCTTTTATTTTTCCCTTCCCTTTCTTTTCTTTTTTTTCCCTCCTCTTGCTCTCATTTACCTTTTTTTTCCTTTTCTCATCATTTTTCAAAATTTTAAATTTTTATCAAAAATCCTGCCTATAAAAGCAGACTATGGAACCTTTTAATGCCTCTTAATCAATATTATACAGCATAAAGCATATTAAATGAAAGTAATTACGTATAAATTTATTTTATTATCTTATTTATTAATTCTTTAGCATGTATTGTTTAATATTAACTTTTCTGTACATTAAATATGATATCTCCAAAGTATGAATGCCTTGTAACGAAACGAAAACTTAATTTTATGTTGAATATTTGTCACAAACATTAGATTATTAAAATATATGTTGGATATCCCTTAGTATGAGACTTCATGACTCTTGTAGTCTAACGTGAGCTTTGGATTGCAAGCTCTGTGGTTAACGAACATAAATTAATTGTAAAGTTTTCAAAATTTTTCATCGTTTCTATCAGCATCTATTTTTCCTTTAAAATAATATATTTGTATGAATACAATATTTAGTAATTTTTTTATTTCCCATAATTTCATTCAAAATTTCAGAAAAAATTAATTTCTATTCAATATTATTTCAGCTTCAAAACACTTCATTCTTATAGATGTTGATTCACTAAAGTGTGATACTCAATGTCTTATTTCAATGAAAATTGTTCTGCAAATTTATTTCACTTTTGACCTCACTTTTTCCGTAATTCAATTTTTTACTTTTAATATTTTAGATCTTCATAATATCATTTGAAAAATTAACCATATAAAAAAATCAAGTTAACAATTCACTTTTTCCGTAATTCAAAAATCAAAAATATAAATAATATATCTTTTTATCAAATATTATTATTATATTCTATGAAAAATGAGGTCCGGAAATTTTGCGGATTCCCGTAACTCAATTTTACGGAAAAAGTGCAGTAAACTATTCAAAATACGGAAAAATTGGTGTAAACTAATGATTTTACGGTAAAATCACGGAAAGTCCCGGAAGAATATATGTGCCTATATGAAATTATACAAAAATGAATCAAACGCATTTTAAAAGATTGTTCTTGTATTATAAATGCTATTCGCAGATTTATTAGTTGAAGAAAATTACCAAATTTTTGCCGATTTACAAAAAATGATTTACAAAGCATATTTTTATAAGGCTTTAAAAATCTTTAAAATGTGACCGGTGACGGAAATCCATGGTAACCAACCGCGGTTCCCGTTTGGAATGCCATATAATTTTCATTATTTTTAATTAACCTTATTTCTTTCCCAATTCCTGATTTATTTTATTCACTTACTATTAAAAGTCACATTTTAATAAAATATAATAATTTATTTATAGCATTTTTTACTATACTGTAATAAAAAATTAATTATAATAAATTAAATGTTTATTAAATCAAATGTTTTCTTTGCAATAATATTTTTAATGTTGAGTAAACAATGTTGGGATCAAGTGTATCATTTTTCAGACCTTTCTGAACAGCTTCAAGCATACTGATGCATTCGACTTTTTTAAATTGTGTCATTTCTTCGAAATCTCTTGTGACTTTTTTGATAACTTTAACACTTCTCTCTGAATCCAGACCTTTAATTTGCAACTTAATCAGGAATGAAGGAACAACACTGGAATATAACTCGATGACAAGTTCATCGAGTCGAAGATTTGGTTGTACACCACTTGTATGTGCCGGATACCATTGTGTCAATTTTTTTCTGAAATTAACTTTAAAAGTACTAAGTAAGATCATGAGATATAGCAATATATGTTTAAACCAACTTATATTTTGGTTGTACACCACTTGTATGTGCCGGATACCATTGTGTCAAATTTTTTCTGAAATTAACTTTAAAAGTACTAAGTAAGATCATGAGATATAGCAATATATGTTTAAACCAACTTATATTTTGGTTGTACACCACTTGTATGTGCCGGATACCATTGTGTCAAATTTTTTCTGAAATTAACTTTAAAAGTACTAAGTAAGATCATGAGATATAGCAATATATGTTTAAACCAACTTATATTTTGGTTGTACACCACTTGTATGTGCCGGATACCATTGTGTCAAATTTTTTCTGAAATTAACTTTAAAAGTACTAAGTAAGATCATGAGATATAGCAATATATGTTTAAACCAACTTATATTTTGGTTGTACACCACTTGTATGTGCCGGATACCATTGTGTCAAATTTTTTCTGAAATTAACTTTAAAAGTACTAAGTAAGATCATGAGATATAGCAATATATGTTTAAACCAACTTATATTTTGGTTGTACACCATTTGTATGTGCCGGATACCATTGTGTCAAATTTTTTCTGAAATTAACTTTAAAAGTACTAAGTAAGATCATTTCTTTTTGCATAATATAATGCCAATATGGTTTCTTTTGATTTTATTTCATTTATAAGCAAATCAGATTTACCCAAAAACTCCACTCCATAAGCGTTCATTTGCTAAATTAAAAAGTGACAATGGGCTAGTCTGTCCCTTTCTCATGCATCGTGCAAATAAAAAATGAATAATTCATTATCTTATCTTTCTCCAAAATTTTAGAAGAAATGGACTTAACATCCCAAATAAATCTGATTTTTCACGTCATCTGTTTTCCAAAAAAAATTCAAGTGTCGAATTATATTAAATGAAATTTTTAAAATTTCAGACAAATTTTGAAAAATTTGAATTTCTTGGAAAAATTTAGTAAATTTTAATCGGTGAATATATTTTATTTTGTATAAAAATCATTATTATTCACTAAAACTAGAAAAACTTATGAAATTTTAAGAAAAATTATTTAAAATACTTAAAATTGACTCACAAGATATCAAATCGATCATTATATCTTGGATCTTATATTTCTTTTTGGCACTTTAAACAAAATCAATCAAATTTAAGGAAAGGAAAACGACAGAATTTTATTTAAGCATGGATGCGAGCAACACCAGACTTGATAGCAGCCTGAGCAACAGCCTTTGAGACTGTTTCTCTGATGCGTGGGTCGAATGGCTTTGGAAGGATGTATTCTGGTGTGAGTTCAGCATCGGAAACGAGGGAAGCAATAGCGCGAGCAGCAGCGATGTTCATCTCGTTTGTGATACGGGAAGAGCGGACATCGAGAGCACCACGGAAGAGAGCTGGGAAGGCGAGAACATTGTTGATCTGGTTGGGGAAGTCGGAACGGCCTGTACCAACAACAATAGCACCAGCTTCCTTAGCTTCATCTGGCATGATTTCTGGTGTTGGGTTAGCCATGGCAAAGACAATTGGCTTTTCGGCCATTGACTTGACCATTTCCTGTGTAAGTGTTCTTGGAGCAGAAACGCCAATGAAAACATCAGCACCCTTGATAACATCACCGAGTGTGCCTTGCTTGAGCTCGGAGTTTGTAATTTCAGCCATCTCGACCTTGATGTCGTTCAAGCCAGAGCGGCCTTTGTAGATAGCACCTTGACGGTCTGTAAAAATAACGTTCTTTGGATTGACGCCAACGGCAACAAGAAGTTTGATGATGGCGATACCAGCGGCACCAGCGCCAGATGTAACAATCTTGACGTCCTCGATCTTCTTTCCAACAATCTTGAGAGCGTTGAGAAGAGCAGCGAGTGTAACGATGGCTGTACCATGCTGATCATCGTGGAAGATTGGGATATCGCAGATTTCCTGAAGTCTCTTCTCGATTTCGAAGCAACGTGGAGCAGAGATATCTTCAAGGTTGACACCACCGAAGGAGCCAGCAAGGAGGGAAACAACTTTGACGATTTCGTCAACATTCTTGGAACGGATGCAAAGTGGGATAGCATCAACATCACCAAAGCGCTTGAAAAGTAAAGCTTTGCCTTCCATAACTGGCATACCGGCTTCTGGTCCAATATCACCTAAACCGAGAACGGCGGTACCATCTGTAATGACCGCGACAGTGTTCCAACGGCGTGTAAGTTCGTAGGAGAGCTCTGGGTTCTTCTGGATCTCAAGGCATGGCTGAGCAACACCTGGAGAATATGCGATGGAGAGATCTTCCTTGTCCTCTACCTTGCAGCGGGCAACTGTTTCGATCTTGCCACGCCATTCCTTATGAGCGGCAACAGAGAGAGATGCATAGTCTTTCTTAACAGACATATCTAAAAATGAAATGTTGATGCTCTTCAAAATTTTGAGACCACAATTGGTCACGAATTCTGAGCAGAAACACTTTTTTATGAATTAAACTCTCACAAAAAATTGAGATCAAATTTTTTCCCGATTGAATTTTTGAGATATTTATCATTTTTAAGACTTATTTAGCTGTAGTATGTTGGGGCGTTTCGTAGTTAAATTATCAATCAATATATGATTATAAACCATTATCATTCTTACCATGGCAAATTCTTCTTTTTATTTATCCAATTTTTTTATAATATCACGCTAGTTTTATCAGATGATATTGCCTTAATCAAAATATATATATGAGATAGCTTTGGAGAATTCATACTCAAATTGAAAATTTTCGTCAATGGGTTGAAAGGTGTATTCAATATTCTGAGCCTTCAATTTTTAATTTAGTAATATGATTATAGGCAATTAAAAAGGGTGAATTTTGAAAAACAGAGAGTAGAGTATAGGAAAATTTTTTATATCAGATGTCTGATATTATATCCCAATAGATATAGTATATGCTTCATGTAGAGTGCATTATTACGATCGGCAAAAGATA